AATCAGATCAGACCCTATTTGTCATGTTTAATCCCCAGTGAGAGTCAAGTTGGGGAATTGATAATAATTCCTTCTTTCTTTTTTTTTTTTACAGAAGATCAGTTTAGTATGCATTAAGTAAAGATTTCAACAGTTTGCACCCCCATAGAAACACAAAGTGAAATATACTGTTTGAGTACTCGTTATAGCATTAAGCCTCAACGTACAGCACATTAAGGACAGAGATCCTACATGAGGAGTAAGTGCACAGTGACTCCTGTTGTTGACTTTACCAATTGACACTCCTGTCTATGGCATCAGTAATCTCCCTATGCTCCAGTCATGAGTTTCCAAGGCTATGGAAGCCCTCTGAGTTCTCCGACTCTTATCTTGTTTAGACAAGGTCATAGTCAAAGTGGAGGTTCTCTCCTCCCTTCAGAGAAAGGTACCTCCTTCTTTGAAGACCTGTTCTTTCCACTGGGATCTCACTCACAGAGATCTTTTTGCCAGAGTGTCTTGGCTTTCCATGCCTGAAATACTCTCATGGGCTTTTCAGCCAGATCCGAATGCCTTTAGGGCTGATTCTGAGGCCAGAGTGCTATTTAGGACATCTGCCATTCTATGAGTCTGCTGAATATCTCACTTCCCATGTTGGATCACTCTCCCCTTTATTTATTCTATCGGTTAGTGTTAGCAGGTACTAGACTTGTTTATGTGCTCCCTTTGACTCTTAGTCCTTTCATTATGATCAATTGTGAACTGAAATTGATCACTTGGAATAGTGAGATGGCATTGGTACATGCCACCTTGATGGGATTGAATTGGAATCCCCTGGTATGTTTCTAACTCTACCATTTGGGGCAAGTCAGCTTGAGCATGTCCCAAATTATACATCTCTTCCCTCTCTTATTCCCACTCTTATGTTTAACAGGGATCACATTTCAGTTAATTTTTAACACTTAAGAATAACTGTGTATTAATTACAGAATTAAACCAGTCATATTAAGTAGAGCAGACAAAAAAACTACTAAGAGGGATAATGTATTAAGTTGTTCATTAACAGTCAGGGCTATGCTGATCAAGTCACCGTTTCCCATAGTGTCCACAGACTGACAATGAAAATTCAAGTTTTAAAAATAAATTCTGGAAAGCTCTTGGCCACGTCTTTGAACATTTCCCTTTAATAAAAAGCATTTCCGCTCCTAAATTGTCCTCGTCAGGATATCGTCTTTCAAGATCTCACCTTTATGCAAAGACTTTTGAGTTTTCTTTTCCACTATTAATGCTCTTCTGTTTATTTAAATAAAATACCTATCCTTATTAATGCTCATACTTCTGTATTCATCTGTTCTTTTAGAGATTTACATAGTTTTATACTCCATACTGAGATATAATATAAACTCTTGGACTTTGACAGAATCATTTAAGTTAATCATTATTCGTGCCACTGCCCCCTCCCCCCTCCCCACTCCTTGGCCTCTTGCCCCTGCTTCCTCTTTTCCTTTGTACAAGTTACTATAACTTGGCAAATATAGCCTCCTCATTCCCCATGCCTTTGATATTCTTTTTGATAAAAATGGTATTTTTGAGATCCATTCTGGTTTTTTTTTTTTGTGCAAAGGCATTGGATTAGGCCTGCCTTAAAGGATTTCTCATTCTTCTTAGTGAAAAATGGTATCAGAGGTGAAAATAAGAGAGCTTGGTATATGTATAAGCATTGGTGATGGTCATGTTGCTAATGCTTCTGGGTGTACTGTTTCAGGACAGGTGGGACAAAGATATTTCCTTTGTAGTGATCATTACAATTTAATACAGCATACTCTCAACTCATTTTTTTTAAGGTTGCGGGTCCAAAAAGTTTCTTTCATTTTTACTTTTTAAAGATTTATTTATTTATTTGAAAGTCAGAGTTACACAGAGAGAGGAGAGGCAGAGAGAAAGAGGTCTTCTATCCACTGGTTCACTCCCCAATTGGCCACAATGGCCAGAGCTACACTGATTGAAGCCAGGAGCCAGGAGCTTCTTCCGGGGCTCCCACGCTGGTGCCGGGGCCCAAACACTTGGACCATCTTCTACTGCTTTCCCAGGCCATAGCAGAAAGCTGGATCTGAAGTGGAGCAGCCAGGTCTCAAACCGGTGCCCATATGGGATGCCGGCGCTTCAGGCCAGAGCTTAACCCGTTGAGCCACAGTGCCATCCCCTCAAATCTCTTTTTAAAAATTAGAGTATATGGGGCCCCTGTTGTGGTACAGTGGGTTAAAGCCCTGCCTGAGGCGCCGGCACACCGGGTTCTAGTCCCGGTCGGGGCGCCGGATTCTGTCCCGGTTGCCCCTCTTCCAGGCCAGCCCTCTGCTGTGGCCAGGGAGTGCAGTGGAGGATGGCCCAGGTGCTTGGGTCCTGCACCCCATGGGAGACCAGGAAAAGCACCTGGCTCCTGGCTCCTGCCATCGGATCAGCGCGGTGCGCCGGCCGCGGCGGCCATTGGAGGGTGAACCAACGGCAAAGGAAGACCTTTCTCTCTGTCTCTCTCTCTCTCTCACTGTCCACTTTGCCTGTCAAAAAAAAAAAAAAAAAAAAAATTAGAGTATATGGGGCCCCTGTTGTGGTACAGTGGGTTAAAGCCCTGGCCTGAAGTGCTGGCATCCCATATGGGCACTGGTTTGAGACCTGGCTGCTCCACTTCGGATCCAGCTCTCTGTTATGGCCTGGGAAAGCAGTAGAAGATGGCCCAAGTCCTTGGGCCCCTGCACCAGCGTGGGAGACCCGGAAGAAGCTCCTGGCTCTTGGCTTTGGATCGGAGCAGCTCTGGCCGTTGTGCCAACTGGGGAGTGAACCAGCATATGGAAGACCTCTCTCTTTGCCTCTCCTCTCTCTGTGTAACTCAAATAAATAAATAAATCTTTTAAAAAAATTAAGAGTATATGGTTTTCTCAGCCCCTAAGACTCAGTTGCTGCTTTGGCTAGTAAGAACTTAAAAACCATATTCAGATTTAGTAGAATAAAACAATCCCCATTCAGATGTTAATTTTACTTTTTAAGATCATCAACTTAATTTCTAAAAGTTTGTTTTCAACCGTGTTAATTAGTTTAAGAAACACAGGAAAAGAATGCTGAATTTAAAGACAGAAGATTTAAGTTCTAGTCCTAGCTAAATGGCATTGTGCCAGTAACTTAAGGTCTTTAAAATTTCCTTATCTATGGATAATAGATGTGAAAACCTAAAGTGAAGGTGCTATACAAAACAAATATTTATGTCAGTGACAAAATTAGGTAATATGTTATCTGTTTTATTCAGTGTTATGCTTTCATGGTTGCTGAGTCTTTAGTTTGATTTGAATGATCTTAAAGTAATAGTAAGATTTTAAGTGATTCTACATATTTGGGCAAGATGCCCATTTTCATATATGCATACAAGTTTTAATGCTATATGTTAGAAATTCAAAATCCTCTTGGTATTTGGCTAGTTCTTTGAGTATGCCTGTAAGTTGGATTTAAGATGAAAACCTGCTTCCCAGAACATTCACATAAGTAAATGGTGTGTTGTTCACACTTTTGTTTGCTGCTTTCTAGATGAAAACAAGAACCGGGGCTCTTATTTGCAAATTTTTAGAGAAACTGCTATAGGATTATAGTTTTTTTTAAGCTTTAGTCTTAGTTAATCATGCCTGGATCTTGGGAATAATATTCTTACTTATGTTTTAGGTGGTCTTGGAGGCATTGGAATGGGACTTGGTCCAGGGGGACAGCCTATTAGTGCCAGCCAGTTGAACATAGGTGGTGTCATGGGAAATTTAGGTCCCAGTGGTGAGTATTTTAACTTTCTTATTTCCTTTTAAATCATATGTTTCATAGATAGTAAAGCTTACATTTGCCAGTCTGTAATAATGCTTAAGTGATTCTATGTAAATCTTTATAAAATTTTAAGACATAACATTGTACATAATAAATTGTACAATGTGATGTCTTGATACATGTACATGTTGTATAATATCCAATTAGAATAAAATACTTAATTTCCTCAAATATTTAACATTTCTATATGGTGAAAACATCCGAACACCTGTTTTATAGTTTTTATAGAGAAATATGCAGTACCTTAACATTTTCTATAGTTACCTTATTTTGCAAACTCCAGAGCTTCTTTCTTCTATTTAGCTATAACCTAGTACTCTATAATAATCAATTTTTTTCCGTGTTGCCTCCTCTCCTTTTCCCTCCTCAGCCTCTGGTAATCACTATTTTCCTTTTAATTTCTTTGAGATCACATATTTTTTGGACTCCACAGAGGACTAAGATCATGTGATACCTGTCTTTCTGTGCTTGGCTTATTTCACATAACATTTTTATAGTTAGGTACTTATGATATCATTTCTTTATAAAGTCTGAAACCTTAAGAGTAGCTAACAAGAAAGAGGGTAGGCAAAGGTCAGGAGGATTCTTCTGGGGCCAGCTGTGTTGTTGTTAGCCTTTGAGCTCTGTGGATTTTGAGGTGTCTTTAAGGCAAAAGAAGAATGTTCAACACAGTGGCTTGTATATCATGGGTATAAAGTATTTGTAGAATGGTTGGAATGCTGCCATGTGTCATAGGCGACTTCAATTTGTACAGCTAGTTGGGAAGGTAGCTTTTCAGGGAGCTATTTGGCTGCTCAGAAGACTAATTAGTAGTTTCTCTTTGGAGAATGGGTTTTAAACCTTTGGGTGTGAGGACTGTTTTATTCTCTTAACATTTGCTAGGGACTCCAGAGTACTATTTTTTATGTGGTTCTACTTGTCGGTATTTACTGTACTATAAATGAAAACTTAGGGCACTAGGTAGATAAGAAATATTTTCATATTTATTTAAAAAATAATGAACAGAATATGTGTTAGTTAAGTATAATTTTTAAGAAAATAAACTATTTTCTGATAATTTGCGAGAAGAGTGGTATTTTTTTTCCTTCTTATACATCTCTTTAATGTTTGGCTTAACACAAGATAGCCATGCTGTTACATATGCATCTGCATTCTGTTTGTTGTAATATCATACAAGACATAATCTCTAGCAAAGTATACCTTATACTCATTAAAGAATGAGGTGAGAGTAAAATAGTCAAATAATTTGTTAGTAGTATTTGATGACTGAAGTAATTTTGACCTATTAGACCTTAAAGGATTCTCAGACTATATTTGAGAATTACTGTTTTAATTTAATTGATGATACCAGGTTCCTATTTTTGTTGAGATGCTTTAGTAACATTTTGGATTATTATGTGGTTACAGATATCATTACAATCAAAATAATTTTCTCCCTTACTCTGAGGCTGTCATATCCCTCACTTTTCATAAACACATACTATTTATACTGAATTTTTTACTATTCTCTTAGCTATCATGGTTAGAGAGGTTCTTACTTTCTGATTTGATTTCTGAATCTACTGTAGTGATATTTCTGTGTCTGTCCTGAAAAAAAATTGATTACCTCATCCTAGGTATTCTGTTAGCTGAATGTTGTAGGTGTGACTCGTGAATTTTGCTTTCTTGTCTAATATATGTTGAAAGAAGCCTTTTTTGAGGACTCATGGTTTGACAGCTGCTATGGCATAGTGCTTTAAACCATCCCTCCTATACCTGTTTTTTTCTCTAGTGTTCCATTCTGGCTAGACCAATGGTATCTATTTTGCTATTATGAGTTGTGTCATTCTTTAGTCATAAAAATAAGATTTACTGAAAGTACATACTGTGTATTTTGTTTGAGGTATGGGAATGGATGGTCCAGGTTTTGGAGGCATGAATAGAATTGGAGGAGGTATGTATAAGCATTTGTTTTTTGTATGTACTCATCACGTCTTTTAATAAACTAGAAACTGTGTTGAGAATCCCAAGGAAAAAAGTCATGGTTTATTGTTGGCTCATGTCCTAATGACTGCTAACAGAAATTGAGCCTGGTACATACTTAAAGAAAGGTGACGCCTTAAGAAGTAGCTGCGCAAGGTAGGATGAATGAAGAGCTTACTAGTGAGATTTAACATTTTCAAAATGTTCAACTGTATAACTGACATGTAAATCTCAAAAATTAATCTTTATTTCATAGGAATTGGGTTTGGTGGTCTAGAAGCAATGAATAGCATGGGAGGATTTGGAGGAGTTGGCCGAATGGGAGGTAAGTAAATGTATACAGTGGAACATGTACACTATGTCTAGTTTTGCCTATTATTTAACTTTTTTCCCCTTCACTTAGGAATGGGTGACCAAGGAAGGCATATGGGCACTAGGGGATAAGGACAGGCATTGTGGGAATGGGGATGGTGCATTTGGCGTGTGAGGTGAGTTGGGTAAATCAAAGACTATTTTTTATTTATTACTTTTGCTGTCTTTTCAGATTAGTATAGATATATTCCTGAATGGCTTACTATGCATTGATGTACTTGAGAAGGGTTAATTTGTTGCACAATCTTTTCAGAACTGTACCGTGGCGCGATGACTAGTAGCATGGAGCGAGATTTTGGACGTGGTGATATTGGAATAAATCGAGGCTTTGGAGATTCCTTTGGTAGACTTGGTAGGGCTGGCTGCATGCTTCTCCTTTTCTTTTTGCAGGTTATATTTTTCAAAATTTGTTCTCAGTTTTTGGTTATTATTACATATTACCTGAAGAAAACTTTAGGGATATTAATGTACTATCTCTTTAGTATTTTGTGTGTTTGAATCCTATTTCCAGAATACTGTATGCTTTTCAGTTATTGTACTTCTTCGGAGAGTATAGTACCTTGGGAATTATAAAGTATGGTAATTTAAATTAATTAGTATATTATTTTTCCCTCCTTGTTTAGGCAGTGCAATGATTGGAGGGTTTGCAGGAAGAATAGGAGCTTCTAACATGGGTCCAGTAGGATCTGGAATAAGTAGGTTTAAATTTTACTAGAATTTATTCAGTAATATTTGAGTGCTTGCAAAGACTTTTTAAGAGTAGTTATTGTAGTATAGTAATGCTTTATTCTTATTTGTTAATGTGTCTTGTTGCAATTTGAGAAACTTTTGACAACCATTGAACTAATAAGCCTGTTTGATATTTCTAAATTAACTGTTTGAATTTTACCTTCATTGATGTTTCTAAACTAACATTACCGTGTGTGTTAACTATCTTCCCATCTAAGAAGCTTTTCCAACCAATGAATCTGAGGATTTCTCTGATAGTGTGTCAGGAATGACTTTTGCTGTAGCACCAACATTGTTTTCCTTACATAGTTTCTGTAACAGCTATTAGTGACTATCTTATCTGGAATATTTTGTGTGTTCTGGTAGATACAGGCATAACATTTTTAGAGAACTCCTGAGGTCCAGGATTAAGTTTGAAAGAGGTGCTTATTTCCTCTTCTCTTAAGCCTTTCCTGTTAAACCTGATACTGGGGAATGCTGAATCTCTCCTGTCTGTTTCTGCTCCCACACTTTAGGCTTTAACACCATAAGCCTTAACACAGACCTTAGTTTTTGACCTCTGTTTACTGGGCCATGTCTCTGTAAGCTTTTCATATTTTATTGACTTCCTTTAGTTGATGAAATTTTGCAAGTAGGAAATGCATCCTACTTGAATTATTCTAAGAGTAAATCCTAAAATCCTGTCAGCTGAAGGCATCTACTTTCATGGTACCTTACCCCCTACTTTGTTCCTTATTTCATCATCTTTGAGATTTGGAATATTTCTGTTAATTTAACTTTCCTAACTTCCTCTTATCTCAGCATTTATACTTCTGTTTCCCTAATTTCATATTTGCTTTTCATAGAAAGTCAGTTTGAAGGTAACATTAATTTTAAGAGTTTCCATGTGTGGAAACAAACAAAAGGGGGGTACATTTTAAGAATGCAATAATTGCAATAATTAAGGGAGACAGAGTCATTATATAAGAATGTAGGTATGAGCTAGAAGCTAAATTTTCAAGCTTTGGCTAAGAAGGAATGATATTTCCTCCCTCCATGAATTCTGTTTGCGATTAAATGTCATGTTTTCCTACTATTACTGAAAAATGACTTGATATAAAAGGTGAAATTTTATGGGAAACAGAGATTATAAAACTGAGGTGAAAGGTAAGCTAGGAAAGGAATGTGTAGGAGAGCATGAAGAGAGCAATGTGTTCTAGAGTTGCAATAATTTGAATTTAGCTCCACATATCTTTGTTCTTGCAATTACTATACTTGGTGTTTTGGAAAATAAGAATGAAAACTACTACAAATTAATAGATGAAGTGATTCCAGAGAATTTAAATAATTTATATGATATATTTTATATCATACCCCATTTATCAAAGATAGAGCTTTTTATGATGTATTTTATAATTTATAGAGATTTATATAGTGCTTAGAATTAAAATTTTCAACTAATTAAATGTATACCAAATTAAATTCTGTTCCTTGGAAAATTGTTATATTGTTTGTATGAAAATAGTTCTATTATTATCTAATTATATAAATTAATTTTTCTCTCCCCTTCTTTCTCAAAATGGTTCTCTCCTTCCTCTTTCCTTTCTTTCCTTCTCTTCTTACTCCTTCTTCAAAATAAAAATACAAAACTCCCGAATCCTTGCCTTCTTGAAAATCCAGGTGGTGGAATGGGTGGCATGAGCAGTGTGACTGGAGGAATGGGGATGGGACTAGACCGGATGAGCTCCAGCTTTGATAGAATGGGACCAGGTATAGGAGCTCTACTGGAAAGGAGCATCGATGTGGATCGAGGATTTTTATCGGGCCCAATGGGAAGCGGAATGAGAGACAGAATAGGCTCCAAAGGCAACCAGATTTTTGTCAGAAATGTAAGCAAATAATTGTAAAGGATACTTAAAATTCTTCTATTTCTTGTATATATGTTACTAACACCTCTTTTCATTCTAGCTACCTTTTGACTTGACTTGGCAGAAACTAAAAGAGAAATTCAGTCAGTGTGGTAAGTATACCAATGATCGTAGATATGTTAATATTGATTACGGAGGAAAACTAATTTTAAACTACACTGTGTTTAGTCTTTTGCCTGTCCGGATGCCTGTTCCTGCATAGTTTGGAGAGTGTTCCAGTTTCTAATTTCACTTCAAACAAATGAGTGATTTTGCTGTCTTCTGGCCTTGAGCAGTATATATTACTACTAAAAATAAGGTTGCTTATTGCTGTTTCCTATCAATAAAGAAAGCACTTGTTTTATTATTTGATTTTAAATGGTTTGCATTGAGAGGATTTTTTTCTTTAGAGCAACATTAATACACAATAAATATATAAATATATATATATATATTTTTGACAGGCAGAGTTAGACAGTGAGAGAGACAGAGAGAAAGGTCTTCCTTCCGTTGGTTCACCCCCGAAATGGCCACTATGGCCGGTGCTGTGCCGATCCAAAGCCAGGAGCCAGGTGCTTCCTCCTGGTCTCCCATGCGGGTGCAGGGCCCAAGGACCTGGGCCATCCTCCACTGCCTTCCCGGGCCACAGCAGAGAGCTGGACTGAAAGAGGAGCAACTGGGACAGAATCTGGCGCCCCGACCTGGACTAGAACCCAGGGTGCTGGCGCCGCAGGCGGAAGATTAGTCTAGTGAGCTGCGGTGCCGGCCAATACATGTTATATTTTACACCCTTGTTTATAGTATACTGCAGTAGATTGCCAGCCACTGAGATGTTGACATCCAATTGATACGGCATAAATAGGTGGAGACCCATTCTGCACACTCTGTATTGTCTACATAATACAGGAAGTTTATCAGGTAGCATAGAATTCATTACCAGGCATACCCAGGGCATGGCTACATCCTGATGATACTTTTAATTCTTTTATAAACTATTCTTAGCTATCATACTACCTATAAAACTTTAATGTGTTTATTAGCTTTCTAAACAATTTTATTTAAGGTATGCAGATTTCTTGTATTTCCTATATACAGATTCAGGAACATAATGATACTTCCTACCCTACCCTCCCTCAGCTCACATTCCTACCCTCTTCTCTCTTCCCTCTCCTGTTCCCATTCTTAATTTTTACAAAGATCTATTTTCAGTTTACTTTATATTCATAAGATTAACCATACACTAAGTAAAGAGCTCAACAAATAGTATGAAGAAAAAAACACTGTTCCTCAACTGCCAAGACAAGGGCTATAAACAATCATTGAATCTCAAAATATTGATTTCACTCCTGTAGATTACCTATTTCAAACCTAAGATCTGTAGATGATTTAGGTTTATTACATTTAAAAGAGAGCCTCTTGCAGTACTATGCTTATTTTGTTATAAAATATCTTTTTTTTTTTTTTTTTTGACAGGCAGAGTTAGACAGTGAGAGAGAGAGAGAGAGAGAAAAGTCCTCCTTTCGTTGGTTCACTCCCCAGATGGCCACTACGGCTGGCACGCTGCCGATCTGAAGCCAGGAGCCAGGTGCTTCTTCCTGGTCTCCCATGCGGGTGCAGGGCCCAAGCACCTGGGCCATCCTCCACTGCCTTCCCGGGCCACAGCAGAGAGCTGGACTGGAAGAGGAGCAACCAGGACTAGAACCCAGCGCCCATATGGGATGCTGGCGCCGCAGGCGGAGGATTAGCCAAGTGAGCCACGGCGCCGACCCCATAAAATATCTTAATTGATAAGTTTTCGCTCCCTCCCCTCCAATAATGGGAGAACTGGTGTGATATTTTTTTGTACAAAGTAACTGATTTCCTGCTAGTATTTTTCTGCTATTGCACAGAATTCCAGAGACTGTAATCACATTGTAAGCTACTTAGGTAACATACAATGATAAAAGTGGTACATTCAGCCTGGTAGAATAATAGAGAATTAGGAGTATTTGGTTTATGTTTTTAATTTTTATGATCATGGAAGAGGTAATTTTAATGATCTCCTACAGAAATAGCCTCTGTGGCCACTATGAGAGCTATTATTATCTTCTAAGTTCTCATAGTCCTTATGCATAACTCTGTGGTGGTTTTCATCATGCTGTAATTTTTTGTTCACATTTTCTTCTGTCCTAGATGGAAGCTCTTGAGGACAAGAACTGTCATCTTTTGTCCTAGCACCTTCCATTGCCTCTCTGCAGATAGTAAGAGTTTATGAAATGTTTGTAAGTTCAGCATTCTGAACAGATCTTCATTTACTTGGTTATTTACTCATTCATTAAATCTAAAAACACCATATTTTTGATATTCCACTAGTCAATAGAATTATGAAGGTGAATAGAGTCAGATACTACTGTTCTTAATGAACATACAATGTGACTCTGTCCAGAATGTTGTGTTGGCACTCTTTGTTGGTCGGCCTTTATTTTGCACTAATCTAAAATTCAAGGAAGGGAAACTTTGTATTCTTTTTTATAAAAAAAAAAAAGTTGAAAACAAGTCAGCTAGTAAATAGTTACCATTAAGAGAAAACAAAACAGTAAAACTTGTTTTGAGGCATCAGTAGCCTTTGTAGGGGTAGGCAGAGCTACAGAATGAGTGATGGGCATCCATTCATGGTCAGCCATAAATCCTATGAACCACGTATTAGGTGCTTAGTGATATACACCAAGTGAGAAAGAGTGTTGGTAAATGTACACAGCTGGAAATCACCTTGCTGGAATGAACTGAACCAGCCATTTCCCCACCATATCGCTTCATTAATGGGTCAATTTATCAGTCTTAGAATTTTATTTTATTTTTTTAAAGATTTTTTTTTTAAATTTATTTGAAACAGAATTACAGAGAGAGGTAGAAACAGAGAGAGAGAGGTCTTCCATCTGCTGGTTCTCTCCCCAGATGGCCGCAACAGCCAGAGCTGTGCTGATCTGAAGCCAGGAGCCAGGAGCTTCTTCCGGGTCTCCCATGTGGGTGCAGGGACCCAAGGACTTGGGCCATCTTCTACTGCTTTCCTAGGCCATAGCAGAGAGCTGGATCGGAAGAGGAACAGCCAGGACTAGAATCGGCGCCCACATGGGATGCTGGTGCTTCAGGCTAGGGCTTTAACCCGCTGTGCCACAGCGCTGGCCCCCAGTCTTAGGATTTTAAATGAAAAAGGATGGCCGGCGCCGCGACTCACTAGGCTAATCCTTTGCCTGCGGCGCCAGCACTCCGGGTTCTAGTCCCGGTTGGGGCACTGATTCTGTCCTGGTTGCTCCTCTTCCAGTCCAGCTCTCTGCTGTGGCCCGGGAGTGTGGTGGAGGATGGCCCAAGTGCTTGGGCCCTGCACCCGCATGGGAGACCAGGAGGAAGCACCTGGCTCCTGGCTTTGGATCGGCGTAGCTCTGGCCGTGGCGGCCATTTGGGGGGTGAACCAATGGAAGGAAGGCCTTTCTTTCTGTCTCTCTCTCACTGTCTAACTCTGCCTGTCAAAAAGAAAAAAGAAAGTAATGAGATTTTTTTTTTTTAACTTGCCACAAGCTAGTAATGAGCTCTTTGGCAGTACAAGACAATCGCCACCCCAGCCCCCAAACCCAAGATGAATAACTATATTCTGTTAGTTAGGAGTCTGTTGGTACTCCATGCATTTCCCCTAAATAGTATCTGCCTGTAAATAACCTCATTGGTAGCTTAGAAAATGTCTCCAATGATTAACTGTCCTTGATGAAGCAATGAGAAAGGCTGAGAAAATGTTATGTTATGGATTATAGTACCCTCAATACAACATTTTCTCAGTCTTTATTATTCAGGAAAAAAATGTTTTCAGATATCCCCAGATATAGCAAGATGAAAAATAAGTATTTTCCAGTTCTTTGTTCTAAATACAGTAAACCCCACAAGGTTGTGTTTTGACCCCAGGCTGGTAAGACACATCATTTTTACAGTAAAATAAATGTTTTTATCCCACCTTATGTAATTTCTCAGTGACATGCATTTTCAAGAAGGCTGAGTATAAATAAATTTACTGACTTATACTGAGGTGGAACCCACATTTGTTCAGCATATGTTAACGGGGGGTCAAATAGACATAGTCTTTCAAACTTGCTCCCGTGTTTCTACGTACCTCAGCCATATTCCGGCCTCTGGCTGAGTAAGATGCAAGCTATAACACCTTAGAACAGCAGTGGAAAGAAAGACTATTCTCATTTCTTCCTGCTATAAACCAAGTAAACAAATAGAAATTTAGTCCACAAATTTCCACTATGTAATATTTCTACATCACTATTCGATCTAATTTAAAATTCAAGGAAGGGAAACTTAGTATGTTAACTACACAGAATGGACGTTTGCTGTAGATTTTATTTATTAAAGCAATTGCTACTTCAAGCATGATTAGTGGAATTTAACTCAAATAACTTAATTGTAAAAATAATTTATGAAGAAAATTCATTGATTGAATCACTTTTTGTTTATAAAGAAAGGCTAAAACTTTGTTTTTCGTCCCTTATGTCATAATTATGCTTTTTTTTTTTTTTTTTTTTTGACAGGCAGAGAGAGGCAGAGAGAAAGGCCTTTGCTGTTGGTTCACCCTCCAATGGCCACCGTGGCCAGCGCACCGCGCTGATCCGATGGCAGGAGCCAGGTACTTCTCCTGGTCTCCCATAGGGTGCAGGGCCCAAGCACTTGGGCCATCCTCCACTGCCTTCCCGGGCCACAGCAGAGAGCTGGCCTGGAAGAGGAGCAAGCGGGACAGAATCCGGTGCCCCGACTGGGACTAGAACCCGGTATGCCAGGCCCCGCAAGGCGGAGGATTAGCCTATTGAGCTGTGGCACTGGCCTTTTTTTTATTTTTATTTTTTATTTTTGGACAGGCAGAGTGGACAGTGAGAGAGAGAGACAGAGAGAAAGGTCTTCCTTTAAACCCAAGACACTCTGGCAAAAGATCTCTGTGAGTGAGATCCCAGTGGAAAGAACAGGTCTTCAAAGAAGGAGGTACCTTTTTCTGAAGGGAGGAGAGAACCTCCACTTTGACTATGACCTTGTCTAAACAAGATAAGAATCGGAGAACTCAGAGGGCTTCCATAGCCTTGGAAACTCATGGCTGGAGCATAGGGAGATTACTGATGCCATAGACAGGAGTGTCAATTGGTAAAGTCTACAACAGGAGTCACTGTGCACTTACCCCTCATGTAGGATCACTGTCCTTAATGTGCTGTGCATTGAGATTTAATGCTATAACGAGTACTCAAACAATATATTTCACTTTTTGTTTCTATGGGGGTGCAAACTGTTGAAATCTCTACTTAATGTATACTAAACTGATCCTCTGTAAAAAAAAAAAAAAAAGAAAAAAAGAAATTATCAATTCCCAACTTGACTCTCACTGGGATTAAACATGACAATAGGTCTGATCTGATTTCATCATCATTTAAAAAAAAACATCTATTATTTTTCACTTTATGTTTCTGTGTGGGAGCAAACTGCTGAAATCCTTACTTAATGTATACTAAGCTGATCTTCTGTATATTAAGAGAATCGAAAATGAATCTTGATGTGAATGGAAGGGGAGAGGGAGTGGGAAAGGGGAGGGTTGTGGGTGGGAGGGACGGTATGGGGGGGAAGCCATTGTAATCCATAAATCGTACTTTGGAAATTTATATTCATTAAATAAAAGTTAAAAAAAAAAAAAAAAAAAGAAAGGTCTTCCTTTGCCACTGGTTCACCCTCCAATGGCCACTGTGGCCGGCGCATCGCGCTGATCCGAAGCCAGGAGCCAGGTGCTTCTCCTGGTCTCCCATGGGGTGCAGGGCCCAAGCACTTGGGCCATCCTCCACCACACTCCCTGGCCACAGCAGAGAGTTGGCCTGGAAGAGGAGCAAGCGGGACAGAATCCGGTGCCCCGACTGGGACGAGAACCCGGTGTGCCAGCGCCTCAGGCGGAGGATTAGCCTATTGAGCCAGGGTGCCGGCCCTAATTATGCTTTCTTAAAGTAGAATGAGTTTGCTTTTTTCTCCCATGGATATGTTAAAGCATCACTTAGCAGATTTTATTGAATCATTTATTTAGTGATAAATACTTTTAATTTGGTCTTTTTTTTTTTTCTTTTTTAAGAGATCTTATTTATTTGAGAGGTAGAGTTACAAACAGTGAGAGGGAGAGACAGAGAGAAAGGTCTTCCATCCGCTGGTTCACTCCTCAAATGGTCACAACAGCTGGAGCTGAGCCCATCCAAAGCCAAAGCTAGGAGCTTCTGGGTCCCTCATGCGTGTGCAGGGACCCAAGCACTTGGGACATCTTCCACTGCTTTCCCAGGCCATAAGCAGAGAATTGAATCAGAAGAGGAGCAGCCAGAACACAAACCAGTGCTCATATGGGATGCCAGTGCTGCAGGTGGAGGCTTAACCTACTGTGCCACAGCACTGGTTCCCAGGTCTATTTTTTCATATGTTTTTACATCTGCATTTCCCAGTATATAGTGCATAAGATAGTAATAGGCTTGATTGAGTAAAGTAGAAATATTTAACTTTTTATTGCACTATAAGTAATTTTATTACTAGTATACAGGTTTATAACAATCATATGTTTGACTATTCTGTGAAAATGATTTCTCATGACATACTGAAAAGTCTTATATTTTTCTGAAAACAGCAGTTCTATTTTTGTTTTCTTGGAATCATATCACACAAGATTGAGTCCTCTCCAGAAGATTTCAGTTGAGGAAGTCATCAGAGCATGTAAAAAGTCAGGCATGTCTGATTTTAATCAATTATTTGATGTCAACTTTTGTCCCTTCTGAATTATGTATTTTTATTAGGAAAAAAACTAGAACACTTACAACTCTTTCTGGTTCCATCCTACTGGGATTTTTTTTGACAATCTAAGCATGAAATAGTATCAGCAGGCCGGCGCCACATCTCACTAGGCTAATCCTCCGCCTTGCGGCGCCAGCTCACCGGGTTCTAGTCCCGCTTGGGGCGCCAGATTCTGTCCTGGTTGCCCCTCTTCCAGGCCAGCTCTCTGCTGTGGCCAGGGAGTGCAGTGGAGGATGGCCCAAGTGCTTGGGCCCTGCACCCCATGGGAGACCAGGAGAAGCACCTGGCTCCTGGCTTCGGATCAGCGCGGTGCGCCGGCCACAGCGCGCTGGCCGCGGTGGCCATTGGAGGGTGAACCAACAGCAAAAAGAAGGCCTTTCTTTCTGTCTCTCTCTCTCTCTCATTGTCCACTCTGCCTGTCCAAAAAAAACAAACAAACAAACAAAAAAAAAACAAAAAACAAAAAAAACAGTATCTGCAGACTGTTCTCTGTATAGCCTGATTGTCCAAACTGTTAGATATTTGGAGTATCTTAGAGTGATCCTGTCAGCTGAAAAGCCTTGGGATCATTATGAGAGCAAGAATTTGGAGCTCTGTGTTGTGATTCCTAAACTGAGGGAGACTATTTAAGAGAGGAAAAAAGGAGAGAAATTTGTTTTGAAATATTAAAAGGCAGAATCTGCAAGACATAGTATATTGAAACATTTTCCATTGAAGTTTTCGAGATTTCTTTCTTGGATGAACCTTATATTTTCTAACAAACTTATTATATGATAATTACATCAAGGAAAACCATAAGTTGGTAGGTAAAACTATACTAAGTACAAATCTTTAACATGAGAGCCTTTGAAAATTCTCCATAGTCCCTTTCAAAAGCACTATCAAGTGCTGCTGTTTACCAAGGTTTGCTTCTTTAATTAAACGTGCTTTTTTTCAGGTACCAGCATGCATGCTATAGAGAACCCCGGAAATTGTACTGCATCTATATTTAGAGTTTTTAAAAAAATATTTTTCCAGTGTCAATTTAGTGATGTTTATTATTTTAGTGTAATTGCTGTGTTTCTTTCTTTTTTTTTTTTTCATTTTTGCCATTTGTGTTCATTGCTGTTTGGATCTATTTTATTATAATGTAATTTATCTGAGGATTAGTCTGTTTTATAATTTTCAAAACAAATTTAAGGACTGCCTATCCTGGCTTGCAAGATTATGGTTTGGCTGATTATGGCATTTATCTTAGTTTAATTAACGTTGAATAGGTGAGCAATTGACAATAAGTTGGTTTTTGTTTTAAGATTTATTTATTTGAAAGCACAGTTAGAGAGAGAGAGAGAAAATAGAGATCTTCTATCTTCTGGGTTACTGTCCAAATGGCTATAGTGGCTGGGGCTGGGTCAGGCCAAAGCCAGGAGCCCAGAGCTTCTTCCATGTCTCCCACATGGGTGCAGGGGCCCAAACACTTGGGCCATTTTTTGCTGCTTTCCCAGGCATATTAGCAGGGAGCTGGATCAGAAGTGGAGCTGCCTGGACTCCAACCGGTGCCTATATGGGATGCTGGCGCTGCAGGTGACAGTTTACCTTGTATGCCACAACGCTGGTCCTACCAGTTGATTTTAAAAATACAATAGGGTGGTGTGTGAAAAAACAAAAGTAGAAAAATTGTCAGGATGTTGCTAATAAAAAAAATCATTCAGATCAAGATTTTAACAAAAAAAATTCTTAAATATGCAGTGAGATTAAAAATGTACCTTCTGAAAGGGCTTATGTAATTTTTTGACAGGCCCTCTTCTTTTACCTTTCCCCTTCTTCCTTTATAGAAGTAAATATGTCTGGCTGTTTGATTTGGTTGCCAGACTAAAATTAGCCCATACTGATCTGGCAACTATACTGTTAGATAGATGTCCTCCAGCTTACTTTGTTTTGACATGTACATGTAGGTGGGAGTGAAATACTGTGGTAAGTAGTCACATGCTAAATTAGGACCTGTTTTTATTGGAAAATCATGCACTCCATTTGCCTGATTATAGTCTCAGCTGTTATTTATCTACAATTATTAATTCCTCTTTTACTCTCCAGAATGCTCTGATTTAGATGATGGAGTTTTTTTGGTCTACTTTTAATTTTGATACATGATATTGATTTGCTTCAAATACAAGTCTCTAGGGTTAGCAATGGTAATAGTCATGTAAGAAATGGTTAAAGCTTCTTTAAGGTTCTTTATGCTGTTACCATTATTGGTTTTTTGTTTTTGTTTTTATTTTTTATTTTATTTTTTTTGACAGGCAGAGTTAGACAGTGGGAGAGAGAGAGACAGAGAGCAGAGAGGTCTTCCTTCCGTTGGTTCACCCCCAAAATGGTCGCTACGGCCGGCACTGCACCAATCCGAAGCCAGAAGCCAGGTGCTTCCTCCTGGTCTCCCATGCGGGTGCAGGGGCCCAAGCACTTGGGCCATCCTCCACTGCACTCCCGGGCCACAGCAGAGAGCTGGAATGGAAGAGGAGCAACTGGGACAAAATCTGGCGCCCTGACCGGGACTAGAACCCAGGGTGCCAGCACCGCAGGCAGAGGATTGGCCAAGTGAGCCGCGGTGCCGGCCACCATTACTGTTTTTACTTTTATTGATTTTAAATCTATGCTGTCTCTTCCATAATAACCCATACATTATTTAGTGCCATTTTTAGAATTTAAGTTCGAATGGTGATATCCAATAGATGACTTAGGCACTGTGGTTGAAAAGCAAAACTATTGGGATCCTTTATGATCTGGTCAAAATTAAATTCCTGGGCAGTTGCTCTTATTTGCAGGGGACAGAGGAGTGAAATGAGGATAAAAGGGAAAGAAAACAGATTAGGTAGATCAGGCCATGATCTAAAAATAATTTTGATTATATGCCTACGTTTGTTATGGGGCATGGTGAGTTGGTGGCATTTGTGCCAGCTTACATTGTTACTATAAACTTTCTTCAGAAATTATGAATGAAATATAAATAAAATATATTAAATATTTGGCAAATTTATCTAAGTTCTGATTTTGTATATTCTAATATGTGTATATACATTACTTTATATGGATTCTATTAGAATGTGAAATGATGACAGTAATGGTTATTTGATTTTTAAATCATTAAGGTTCATGTTTTTAAATAAATTACCACTTCATTAGCTGTGAGAAACTTCAAATCTGTATAGTGGAATGGTCTCCCTTTAAACTAATAATTCTGTCACTTTTATTTTACAGGTCATGTAATGTTTGCAGAAATAAAAATGGAAAATGGAAAGTCAAAAGGCTGTGGAACGGTCAGATTTGACTCCCCAGAATCAGCTGAAAAAGCCTGCAGAATAATGAATGGAATAAAAATCAGTGGCAGAGAAATTGATGTTCGCTTGGATCGTAATGCATAATTTCAAACGAGGGCTGGAACATTCCTACATCTGTTTTGCCGAATCTTCTAGTAAAAGTCATTTTTTAAGTAATACTGTATGCTTACAAAAGCTGTAAAAATGAACTTTAAATTCCCACCAGCTTTTAACAAGATAATGTTAAAAAATACTGTGATTTTTGTTAATCTCCAGTTTGGGTTTTTAAAGGACAGCAAGTCTGGTCATTCAGTTTAAATGAATGGTTATACTGTTTTTAATTAAATAAGTCATTTTCTTGTTGTTTCAAGTACTACATAGTGGGATTTATTTGTTCTAGTTTCTCCGAATTTTATCAACTTATTGTAAGGTAACGTGTAGATGGTTGTTTCAAAATTTCTGCTTTATAATATGTAATTGTCCATGAAATGAAAGGGCTCAGACAAAATTAGGATGTGATTTTTGTTGGTTTTAAATTACTTTTCTTTTGAGGAAAAAGAATTACTGTAAGTAAGGTTTAGATTCTAAAGTTCATGGTGTTTTTTATTTGACTTAAATGAAGAAATGAATTTTTCATTCTCTGTTCTTTGGAACCATTTACATTTTCCACATAACACTATTAATAATATCAACCTCCACAGCCCCTTATTTTATTGTTTCCAATAATTCCAAGTTCATATAGAACTGACAATATAGCAAGCCCCAAGTATAATACTAGGCAGACAACTCCTAATTTTCTATCTAGTTTCCACCCATTGAAGTGAATTGCTAAAAAAAGAAAAATAATTGAAATGTTGAGAGAGATGGTTATGTAAGTTAGTCCTCTGCTGTTCACCTCAACAGGAGTTAATGGATTTATAAACACAGTTTTAATAAACCATGGAACACCTAGGCATAGCATATCAAACACATTGGATCCCACGATGTTAGACATAGCCATATCTCCTTGACCTGCAAAAGAAGCATGTTGTCAAAATGTGCATACCAATGCTGTATTTTATTAATAATCTTCATAAGAAAAGAACACTGGATGCTCTTTGTTGTTGATTGCTTTTGGAAAGTTGTTATTAGAGCAAAAGTCTTAATTTGTAATTTAAAATTTTTCTTGGGTTAGTATTTAAAGTCTTAACATTTATTTAATAATTATTTATTAAACCATTTTTTTCATAAGTATGTAGCTTACTCATTGCTTTTCATCCTAATTTACCATGGTTAGTTATTTAACACACATTTCAGATGACTTCTTGGGGGATTAGAACGAGTGAAATCAACCTGCTATTAAATAGTATACTTCAGCTACTTTTTTTTTCATTCAAAGTATGTTACTGAGGGAGAAATATTTTGAAAGCTACCTTTACATAGTGTATTTCAGTCAGGCTTGAAGAATGGGCTTTGCAGACTGAGGGTCCTAGATCTTACCTTTTCTTGCAACCAACACACTTGCAACTGTGTCTGGTATGCTTGTTCCTGCTGCTAATAAAGTGAGGCCCATTACTGTGTCTGGAATTTCTAGTGTTTCTCCTACAATAAACATAGATATTATAAGTTATGAATCTTAAAGATCCAGTTAACACTCTCTGCAGGTATTTTAGATGTTTTTTTCCTTGAATAAAAATGAAGTAAGCAGTTAGGTTTCAGACTAAGCCAAATAATTTGAATCAGGTTGGAAATTTGGGGAACCCAGGTAGCTCAGATTTTTAATGACAAGTATGTAAAAGCAAAAATTCTACCCCCGAAAAAGTCCCCCTATTTGTATCTTTAGTGAATTTATAATTGCTGTTTTCAGGGCTGTTGCTTAGTAGATGCTAATGACAGGTCATCTCCTCGTGTGAAATTTAGGTAGAATTAAATTATTTCTAGTATTTTTAAAGCTATAATTGTATTAACATGTACACTTTTTTTTTAAGTCCTACCTTAGTAACACACCTTAATTTACTGTTTCTTTGGCAAAGTCCATAAATCTTTGAGGAAAACATGACCTATTTGTTTTCTATTTGAGCCTTTTTAACATATGGTCCCAATTTATTAATACTTTTGTTTAATTTGATGTCTGTTCAACATTTTTCAGAAATGTATTCATTATGGGAAACAGAACCAGAGGAAGGTTAAAAAAAAAAAAAAAAGGACATGTAACTACTCTTTTAATGTTGTAATTGGTAACTTGATTTAGAATCCTTCCATTTTTCTTTCCTTTATTTTTCTTAAACTGTCAAAAGAACTTAATTAGAATGTAGCTTACTTATTGCATGCTTCTCTGTTGATACTGGAATTGGTTGTTAATTTTTGTTACTTTGCTAGAGTTCATATGGACATAAATAACACTAATACTTATCATCTTGGGGGCTGTTCTGTGATCTATTGCTTGACTTTGCTCTCTTCATATTTTCCTGGTATCAAATGTGTTCTGACTTAAAGTTAGGATAGATTTAACATGCAAACTAATGGGATTTCAAAAACATCTTCCTCACCAAAAAAATGCAAAAAGAAAAAGATATTGTGTTCTTTGGTAGCAAACTATTGAAATGCTTATGTTTTAATTTGGGAAAAGTTAGGGTTAGCAAATTTCTTTTTTGTGTATGAAGGACCAGATAGTAATTATTTAGGCTTAATAGGCTTTATAGCCTCTTTTGCAGTTACTCAGCTCTGCCAATGCAGTGTGAAAGCAGTCATAGATAATATGTAAATCAGTGGGCCTATGTGTGCAGTAAAATTTCAATATTAAAAATAGGCCAGGTGATTTGGGCACACAAGCCATAGTTTGTTTATTTCATGTAAGTCAATGTAGCTTAATCTTTTTGGGAGAAATTTCTGATTTTTTTGCCTATATTTGATTTTTCAGTTGGGGAATAGAGTGCATAATAGCTAGGCCGTATAGTTAAATTTTAGCCATGCACATAGTAGAAATCTAAAGTGAAACTTTACTTTAAACCCTTTTTACTCATAATATACCCTGTTTATATTGCTGTATTGAAAAGCAAAATAGAGTACAACCAGTTAAACAGTGAGCACACATTGTTTTCCTAAAACACTGATTCCCTGTCTATTTTTCACAATTCAATATAAAGAATCTATTGTGGACTCCCATGCAATGTGATTTAATTATTCATATTAGCATAAAGGAAGCCATCCTGTGAATTTAATTCCATTTATAAGGTGATCCCTTGAATTATACCCTAGTCTGTATAATAGTGAGAATACAGCTGATATGTAATATGCAACTGAAAAATCTTGTTATATTAATATTTAATCTTTTTGTAAATAGTCCTAATCTTTAGGCTTGCTGAAAAAATTTGCTCCCTAGCTATGTTATTTTAAGAACATATGCAATTTTTTCTTATAAAATTATTTTATTTTTAAATTATACTATTGTATTTTAAATACATACCTGTTATTGTGACCATCCAAACCAGTATATATGTAAATGCAGATATCCATAGTGCTGACATGAGAAAGGTTATCATAAAGTAGTTTCTCCAAAATTTTCTTCTACAATCTGGTGTGGTTAGAAAAAGTAATGTAATAATAGGAAGTGATAATACCCAAAAAATTCTTTTTACGTCTGCTTCAGGCATGCTGAAAACACTTGGTGGATCTGTTGTAAAAAAAAAATAAACAATTTTGAGTTTTCTCAAATGGCCGATTAAGTTAGAACTGCCCATTTAGATGTAATATTGAAATAAATTAGCTGTATCAGTTTTTAAAAGGCTATTTAAAACATTTGAATGTGTCATTACTGATATTGCTGGCAAAAAGAAGCTAATTGAAACTCCAGGGCAGTAAGACTTAACACTCAGCATTTCTTGACTTGGGGCTTTCAATCCATCATACTGTCTTGGACCATTCACTAAGTATGTTATTGTGTTTATGGAGTGACAATTTGAAATCTCTTGGTTTTCTGCACCGTGGATTGGTTTCAGTAACTTTGTGCTTATGCAATTAACCTGGTTTCTGCCCCAACTATTCCAGTTGCCTCCGCTTTCCAATACTGATGATGCTTCCGGCCTGCTTTATGTATCTGACAATACATACTTAGAAATTATAAAATAATTACAGCACAATCTTTTTATAAAGTTGCACATTCCTTGCAAATTCTTATTGTGATTTTTTTGGCCTATTTCTTTGATTCTTTTTATTTACTAAATTCACACTTAATGATTTTTAGAAAAAATCTTAAAAAAATAGACTTAGGATACCATCTATAATCCAGTTTATAAAACTTGGTTGTCTTATTCAGTTTGTTTTAAGTTAGTGGAAGACTAGTATAACAACATACTGGACAAAAATGAGGGTTCACTTTAAAATTGTTTGAAATTTGTATGACATTTACAAATAACATGAGTCACACTACAGCTAATTGCAGTAAAAATAAACTTTTTATAAAAAAGGTTGCCAAGCCTCAATCAGTGTACCATTAAGTAATATTAGATATATTTTTAATGTAATACAAGACTTGGACTGGCTCTTTCGAGTGTCTTGTTATAAAACTTAAGAGATGCTGGCCCCTAAAACCTGAAAAACTAGAAGCTATAAGATGTGTAACAATGGAAAAAAGTCCTGATTAAATTGCTGTAAGTAGTGAATTAGAATAATTTCCCTTCCCAATGCACATAACTAAAGCTAGAATCTATTTTATAGGATCATTTATCAAAAAGGAACATATAAAATTATATTTCTGGCTGTAGCTGAATTTGACTTTCTACAGAACATACTTAAATAAGTATTTTGCTGTTGCTTTAAACATGTCTAAATCTCACTGGTTTTCTTCTTTCCTTGAAACCAGCCCCTTTGCCTAAATTCCCAGTTTTTATGTTATTTTCCCATTTTCTCAATCAAGATCAAAGCACTGGGGTTGTATTTGCTCTTTTTTCTGGCTGAATATTGTTCCTCAGTTGCTAAGTCTTGATTCTTTCTCTGTATTTTCTCACATCTGTTCTATTTCATTCACACTGTCTTCATTTTGTCTAGACATCTAGTCAGCTTGTCAGCTGTAATAATTTAGTGCTTCTGTGAACAACATTTCAAGGAACTATTTCTGAAGTACAAATCTCCTAATTTCCATCCTCACTAATCTTCCAAGTTTATTACAGTAGCATTAAAAACTCTTCCTGCTTTCCTCTGCTCCCTTACAATATTTATAATCATACAGGTTGAGCATCCCTAATCCAAAATCAGAAATACCACCAAGTCTGAAACTTTTTGAGTACTGGCATGACACCACAAGTGGGAAATTCCAATCTGACCTCATGTGATGGGTCAAAGTCAAAACACAGGCACAATAAAATTATTATATAGAATTGCCTTCTGTGCATAAGACATACATGAGACAAATGCATTTTATTTAGACTTCGATCCTATCCATTAGATACCACAATAGGTATATGCAAATCTTTCCAAATCCCCAAATATTTCTGATCCCAAGCATTTCGGGTAATGGATACTCTGCTGTGCTCCAGTTAAGCTACTACATGAACAAGTCTTTGGCTTATGGTGTTTTCTGGGCTTCAATTCATAGAATATACTCTTAGCTCTGCGTCATTTATGTAATAAAGATTTCACTAGCTGTTTACTATCCGGTATAACATCTCCTTATAGTTAAAATCTTACCTGTTCTCTTTTCTGTAAAATCATCCTTATCAAGTTTTATACCATCTGTCCCATTTATGAACTACAGTTATATTTTATTTCTGGATCTCTTTATAGTACTTAGACCTTAACATTTTAGTTTTTTTCCCTTGCCATACCAGAAGCACCTTAAGGATAGAGGCTCTTTCTTTAATATCCGCATCCCCAGTGTCTTTTACATAATAAATCGTAGTGAGTATCAGTACTTGCTGAATTGAAGTGGGATTCTTTTTTTTTTTTTCCTCCCAAGAAACCTTTTATTTAATGAGTACAAATTTCCTAAGTACAACTTTAGGAATATAGTGATTCTTCCCACCATACCCTCCTTCCTACCCCCAACTGAAGTGGAATTCTGAACGTTTCAAATGAATAGACTTAATAATATGATATAGTTAGTACCTTCAGAACCCTGACTGAGACCATGTAGACTTATGGAAAGCTGGGAATAGCCAGAATCTTCATGAAAAATTCCACTATCAGTTCTTGATTGCCGACGACTGAATGGTTGACCTTCCTCTTCCCATCCCATCAGTGGCTGCTGTTCAGTTCTCTCCTCCATAGCTTTAGCAAGACAGGTGCAGCAAGAACTGCATTTCTTTACTATATATTGGTTAATTTTATTGTCAAAACACAGCACCAAAACATACAATCCATATATCAAAAGGAGTAAAGTCCCTTCATACCTATAAATTAAAGAGAGATTTGTGTTTTTCAGTTAGCAAAATTCATTTTAGAGTTAATAGCTTTTAGGCAGCATCTGCTTAATAATTTTCTAATAAAGACATTAAAACAATCAAATGAAGACTTCTACATATTTGTGTTTTGTAGACTTGTCCAAACTTGAGTATAACATTGTCAGTTTCTTAAAAGACTGATACTTCTTTCTTTATAAAATATTATAAATTAATTATCTTCATTTGTAGATTCCTTCCAAATGGCAGGCATAAGACTGCCTTGAAAGTAATCATTGGAGGTTTTCAAAATAAAACTAATGAATAGTGATGGCATTTGCCACCTCAGTTCACTGGCATAATTAGTGCCCAAAACTATGTGATAGTTAGAAAAAGAATGTAGTATCTATTCACTCACTTTCCAATATGGAATTTTTTAATAAAATATTCAGAATGTGTTAGATTTTGTCTGGGGCCTTTCAGTTTTCTATGTAGAGATTTTTGGGTGATTTTAATATAGGTGCATTTGCTTGCATTCACAGGAGAAATACAGTTGCCTCTAAAATTACCCCTTAGGCATCAAGAACTACTTCCCAGTATTCTGCTTTCCTACTTAAAGAACTGTAATTAGCTAACACAAGATCCCTAATTCTTGCATTTACCTTTTATTAATAGCCAGTAAATCTCTACTACAACTGAAAGAACAGAGTTCCTGATTTTCCTAGTGGAGGAAGCATTAGCTTGGATACTTTGACTGTTACAGTCCCTGACAGACAACTGATGAATTCCAGAAGGATTCCTGCTATACCAATACAATATTTTTTTTTTTTGGAAGACCGACTGCATGTCAGGGAGATTGATTTTAAAATTCCCTGTGCTAGATTTTATTTCTTGATAGCAGGTATGATGCAGTGCTGTTAAGTTGTAGTGTTCCAACATGCACATTTACATTGTTTTCATGTCCTGGAAGTTCCTATGATGCCTAACATAGTCATAAATACCTAGTGGATGCCTGGTGCTTACTAGTTGAAAAGGTTTATCCACTCACTCTTTTTTCATTTTCTTGTACAAATTGGGCATAGGGAGATTATGGGAAAGCAAACAAATTTTAATAGTGATGATTAAATATTATTGGTTCTTAAAGAAGGCTACAGTAACTCCTGCTAACCAAGAAACAGAAGTATTTGGAGGGATTTAATGGGAATTCTTTTACTTCCTCCATCATCTTTTTCCAATATTTTGTGACCATGACCACTTATCATCAAAGCAAGGTAAGCAATAGCCCAGTAAAAGAAAGAAAACAAACAAGAAAACCAAACAACTCTTTGGGCTTTAATGGACAACAAAAGTTGGCAAATTCTGAATAGGCAGCCAGGATGGAAGGACAAGTGTTAGTCTCCAGTGACCAGTGAGAAAGACGAGAAGCTGGGAGGTGACTAGAAAGAAATCACTAAGTTGTGAGAAGAACCCAACAAGTGATTGTGATGAGGAAGTTGCTTCAGAGACCCCTTGGAATATGGTGTAGAAGTAGTAACATTTCTGGAACAAAAAATACTGAACCATCAATTTAGTAAAGTCCTCTCTAATTGTTTTACATAAGAGTAAAATTATTTCTTTTTTTATTTCTTTTTTTATTTAGTAAATATAAATTTTCAAAGTTCAGTTAATGGATTACAATGGCTTCCCCCCCCATAATTTCCCTCCCACTCACATCCCTCCCATCTCCCACTCCCTCTCCCATTCCATTCACATCAAGATTCATTTTCAATTATCTTTATATACAGAAGATCAATTCAGTATAAAGTAAAGATTTCATCAGTTTGCACCCACACAGAAACACAAAGTGTAAAATACTGTTTCAGTACTAGTTATAGCATTAATTCACATTGAACAACACATTAAGGACAGATCCCACATGAGAAGTAAGTACACAGTGACTCCTGTTGTTGACTTAACAATTTGACACTCTTGTTTATGGCGTCAGTAATCTCCCTAGGCTCTAGTCATGAGTTGCCAAGGCTATGGAAGCCTTTTGAGTTCGCCGATTTCGATCTTATTCCGACAGGGTCATAGTCAAAGTGGAAATTCTCTCCTCCCTTCAGAGAAAGGTACCTCCTTCTTTGATGGCCCGTTCTTTCTACTGGGATCTCACTCGCAGAGATCTTCCATTTAGGTCTTCTTCTTCTTTTTTTTTTTTTTTTCCCAGGGTGTCTTGGCTTTCCATGCCTAAAATACTCTCGTGGGCTCTTCAGCCATATCCGAATGCCTTAAGGGCTGATTCTGAAGCCAGAGTGCTATTTAGGACATCTGCCATTCTATGAGTCTACTGTGTATCCCGCTTCCCATGATGAATCGTTCTCTCCCTTTTTGATTCTATCAGCTAGTATTAGCAGACACTAGTCTTGTTTGTGTGATCCCTTTGACTCTTAGACCTATCAGTGTGATCAATTGTGAACAGAAATTGATCACTGGGACTAGTGAGATGGCATTGGTACATGCCACCTTGATGGGATTGTATTGGGATACCCTGGCATGATTCCAACTCCACCATTTGGGGCAAGTCCGATTGAGCATGTCCCAAATTGTACATCTCCTCCCTCTCTTATTCCCACTCTTATAAGAGCACCAAAGGGGAAACCTGTTGAAGTGAAATGGACACTATGAGAAACAGTGACTTGATCAGCTCTTGTCCTGACTGTTGATGTACAATGTAATACTTTATCCATTTTAGTATTTTCTCTTTGTTTTGTTCTAGTACTATTGGTTGAACTAGGTGATTAACACACAATTATTCTTAGGTTTTTAAATTTTAACTGAATAGAGTAAAATTATTTCAACTTACCAGTAAACTTGGTTGTCAAATATTATGCCAAAAATTGCTGCTACACTGATGGCATATGCTGCACAGTCTCTGAATAGGGGCCAACATGATAGTGTTGAAACCTGTAAGATGACAGTTTACTGTTTGCATTACAGGGTGAGTCATTCAAGTACAATGCTTAGTACAATACTAAAATTGTATGTTTGTAGTTAAATATTGTTACCTTTTTCATATTGCTTAAAGAAAAAAGAAAATTGTGTTTCTGAACCTATGTTGACTTTCATAAATTTGACAAAGAGCTGTTAGTGGGTTAACCTTTAAATTGAATACATGTTGTTTTTCTACTAATTAATAAATTTGATTGAACATGTTTACTAGTGCTTTGTTGTGCCTCCCAGACTGTAACAAGTACTTTTAGACTTTACCAAGACAATAACTCTTGTTGAATGAAGTTTTCTTACCACATTAGATAGCAAACCACAGGCTGCACAGATGCCAAGGAGATTATAAATTGCAGATCCAAGGATAGTGCTAATGCCAATATCTCCTTTTGTGATAAAAACACCTGTAGGCAAGACAGTAGTGGCAAGTTTAATTTTAATTTCAAGAAAATAAAATCACATAATGTAAGTAAAACATAAGAAGCAATATTTACCTAGGAAAGCCGTAACTAATTCCGGAGCTGAACTACCCGCTGCCATGAAAGTTGCACCTGCAACATCCTGAGACAATCCAAGAGCTGAAGATAAATGAAATTATTGTTACACCTGATAGAGTAACGAATGAAACGTGTATATTTATACCTTAATACAGTATGTATTCAAAGCCATTCCTCCACATAACACTAGTATTGACTTAAGCTGGAAAAATAAAACATGCAGGTTACTACATAGAGGAATCCAGTGTCTTGGCTTATTAATAAATCCATTAATGTTTCTCTGTAAAGGGTAGAGAAGCCAACTAAAGGGGTACTTCAAAAAGTTCATGAAAGATAGAATTCTTTAAAAAAAAAAAACAAACCCTGGGAATAAATTTAAGGAAATGAAAACGTTTGACAATGAAAACTCTAAATCTCTGATGAGATTGACTAACAGGACATAAAAAATGAAAAGATACCCTGTGGGAGCCGGTGCTGTGGCACAGCAGGTAAAAGTCGCTGCCTGCAGTGCGGGCATCCCGTATGGGCGCCAGTTTGTGTCCTGGCTGCTCCACTTCCGATCCAGCTCTCTGCTATGGCCTGTGGCCCAAGTCCTTGGGCACCTGTACCCGTGTGGGGGACCCAGAAGAAGCTCCTGGCTCCTGGCTCCAGATCAGCTTAGCTCTGGCCATTGCGGCCATCTCGGGGAGTGAACCAACAGAAGGAAGACTATCTCTGCCTCTCTGTAACTCTTGTCTTTACAAATCTTTATTTATTTTTTAAAGGCAGAGTGGACAGTGAAAGAGACAGAGAGAAAGGTCTTCCTTTTCCGTTGGTTCACTCCGCAATGGCCGCTGCTGCCGGTGTGCTGCGGCTGGCGCACTGCACTGATCCGAAGCCCAGAGCCAGGTGCTTCTCCTGGTCTCCCATGTGGGTTCAGGGCCCAAGCACTTGGGCCATCCTCCACTGCCTTCCCAGACCACAGCAGAGAGCTGGACTGGAAGAGGAGCCACCGGGACAGAATCCGGCGCCCTGACTGGGACTAGAACCCGGTGTGCCTTTTCAAATCTTAAAAAAATTTTTTAAAAAGGTATCTTGTGTTCAATGATTGGAAGAATCAATATCAAAATTTGCATGCCCAGTGTGATATAAAGACTCAATACAATCTTTATCAAAATCATAATGGTATTTTTCACAGAGCTAGAAAAACACTACTAAAATTTGTATGCAACCATGAAAAATCCCAATTGGGACTGTGTTTGTGGTGTAGCAGGTTAAGCAACTACCTGTAATGCCGACATCCATTATGGGCACTGGTGAGTCTTGGCTGCTCCACTTCCAATCCAGCTCCCCGCTAATGCACCTGGGAAAGCAGCAGATGGCCCAAGTGCTTGGGCCCTTGCATCCATATGGGAAACCAGGATAAGGCTCCTGACTCCTGGCTTCTGGCTTCAGTCTGGTCCACAACTGGCCTTTTAAGCCATTTGAGGAGTGAACCAGCAAATGGAATATTTTCTTGCTCATTTTCTATAATCTGCCTTTCAAATATATAAATAAATCTTCAAAAAATTTTAAAAAACCCAAGTAGCCAAAGCAATTTTAAGCAAAAAGAATAACAACAAAAAATAACAAATGATGCTGGGAAAACAGTAGAAAATGCTCCTCTTCTGATCCAGCTCTCTGCTGTGGCCTGGGAAAGCAGAAGATGGACCAAGTCCTTGGGCCCCTGCACCCGCATGGGAGACCTGGAAGAAGCTCCTGGCTCCTGGCTTCGGATTGGCGCAGCTCCGGCCATTGTGGCTAACTGGGAAGTGAATCAGCAGATGGAAGACCTCTCTGTCTCTACCTCTCTCTGTAACTCTGTCTTTCAAATAAATAAATATTAAAAAACTAAGATAGTTAAAAAAATGCATAGCAACCTTATCCATAAAAAAAAGAGTGCACAGCAAAGCAAACAACAGAATGAATAAACAGTCTCTAGAATGGGAGAAAATATATGCAAGCTATTACATCTGACACGGGGTTAATATCCAGAATATCTAAATAACTCATTAGCAAATGGGCAATAGATAATGAAAAGCTGTTTCTCAAAGGAAGACATAAAATGGCCAGCAGGTACATGAAGAAATGTTCAGCATTTCATCAGGGAAATGCAAATCAAAACCGCAGTGAGATATCCCCTCGCTCCTCTAAGAGTGACTATTTTCAAAAATAAGATATCAAGTGCAGGTGAGGATGCGGAGGAAAGGGAACATTTGCACACTGTTGGTGGGAATGTAAATTAGGACAGCCATGGCGGAAACCAGCATGGAGACTCCTCAAAAGACTAAAAACAGATGTACCATATGATCCGCCAATCTCATTACTGGGGATAGATTCAAGGGAAATGAAATCTCTCGAAGACATCTGAAGTCCCCTGTTTATAGCAGCACTATTCACAACAGTCAGGAAACCATCTCAGTGTCCAGCCAATGAAGAATGGGTAAGAGAAATGTGGTACATGCACACAATGGAATACAAGTCAGAAGAATGTTGAAATCTTGTCATTTGCAATCACATGGACGGAATGAGGTCATTATTTTAAGTGAAATAAGCTAAGCACAGAAAGACAAATACCACATGATCTATATGTGGACTCTTAAAAAAATAGGTGATCTGGGGCCTTCGCTGTGGCGTAGCGGGTAAAGCAGCTGCCTGCAGTGCCGGCATCCCATATGGGCGCTGGTTTGAGACCCGGCTGCTCCACTTCCCATCCAGCTCTCTGCTATGGCCTGGGAAAGCAGTGGAAGATGGTCCAAGTCCTTGGGCCCCTGCACCCACGTGGGAGACCCAAACGAAGCTCCTAGCTCCTGGTTCGGATCAGTGCAGCTCCAGCCGTTGCAGCCAATTGGGGAGCAAATCAGCGGATGGAAGACCTCTCTCTCTCTCTCTCTGCCTCTCCGTTTCTCTCTGTGTGTAACTCTTTTAGATAAATCTTTTTTTTTAAAGGTGGTCTTATAGAAATTAAAAATATAACTGTGTTACCAGAAGCTGGGTAGGGTAACGGACAGGGAGGGTTTTGGAAACGTTGATTGATGGGTACTAGCTAGATAAGAGTCAAAGGTCTGGGGTTCTATTGCCCAGTAGGGCGAATATAATATAGTATCGATGTACTGTGTATTTCTCTATTTAAAAATTAGAAGATATGCCGGCGCTGCGGCTCAATAGGCTAATCCTCCGCCTAGCGGCACTGGCACACCAGGTTCTAGTCCCGGTCGGGGTGCTGGATTCTGTCCCGGTTGCCCCTCTTCCAGGCCAGCTCTCTGCTGTGGCCAGGGAGTGCAGTGGAGGATGGCCCAAGTGCTTGGGCCCTGCACCCCATGGGAGACCAGGAAAAGCACCTGGCTCCTGCCATCGGATCAGCGCGGTGCGCCAGCCGCAGCATGCTGGCCGAGGCAGCCATTGGAGGGTGAACCAACGGAAAAGGAAGACCTTTCTCTCTGTCTCTCTCTCACTGTTCCACTCCTGCCTGTCACGGCCTGGAAAAAAAAAAAAAAAAAAAAAAAAAAAAGAAGAAGAAGAAGAAGATAGGGTTTTTGGATGTTCTTATTAGAAAGTAGTGTTAAATGCATGAGAGAATAATATATTTACCCATATTGGATTTTATGCAATGTATTCATTTAACAAAATATCACATAGTGCCCAATAAATATGTACAATTTTTGTATGCTAAATCTTTAAAGTGATAAACATGTGCATAGTTTTTTCATAGTTTTCTATGAATCTTTTGAAGATCCCTCATGTATATGGTTTTCAGGTTATTTTGGCCCCAAAGAAACATCCTTTAATTCCATTTTCCATGGACTTTTTGAACTGTACTCATTATGTATCCTGAGTGCCAAGATTTAGCATTTCTTTTTTTAAAGATTTATTATTTATTTGAAAGTCAGAGTTACACAGAGAAGGAGAGGTGGAGACAGAGAGAGAGAGAGAGAGAGAGGTCTTCCATCCGTCGGTTCACTCCCCAGTTAGCCACAACAGCCAGAGCTGCGCTGATCTGTAACCAGGAGCCAGGAACTTCTTCCAGGTCTTCCACATGGGTGCAGCAGCCCAAGGACTTGGGCCATCTTCCACTGCATTCCCAGGCAATAGCAGAGAGCTGGATCGGAAGTGGAGCAGCCGGGACTCAAACCGGCACCCATATGGGATGTTGGCATTGCAGGCTGCAGCTTTACTCACTATACCACAGCGCCGGCCCCAATATTTAACATTTCAAACCCAGAAAACCTCCAGTCTAGCTGTAGGGCTTATAGGGGAGTGTCAACAACATGACTTTTTTACAAAATAAACTAAGGTAATTTGGGCAGCCCAACTCAATTTGAAAGAAGACAGAAAGTGGAAATTAGTAGGTTTTAAGATCCATAAATGATGCTGAACTGAGCTTCTTCACAAATTTCCAATTTCAAACTTGTCTAATTAAAAAAAAGAGAAGAAATTACATAGTTAACTAAAAGCCCAATAAATAAGATTTAATATTGCATAAATATAGGAGATTGATTTAAAACATAGATTCATTAAAACTTTAATCGAGAGTGGGAAATACAAGGAAATGCTGTACAGTATTTAGGTAGTTTGTGTATATCCTCCAGACCTACAAGCATGCAGGTCCATTAAGTTGAGTGATTGATAGGATGGGAGTCTTAAGAAATTCTTGGCTTTCAATTAGCTGAGAAACCTACTATGGGAAGGAAAAG